TTCTCTGGGGCTGTTATGGAGATCTATGTTTATGTCCTCAGAAAGCACCACTTACAGATTTCTTCAGATCAATACCTTTGTCTAGGATGACTGGGTTATGGGATCTGTCTATATTTCCTGAAGACTTTTTTTTTTTTTTTTTTTTTTTTTTTTTTTTTTTTGGTAAGGATTCATAGTTATTTAGACCTGAACAGTTCTGATCCTTCCAATTCTTCTTGCATCTTCTATTTCCTGCTGCCTTTTCCCTCATCTTTAACAACCACTCATGGAAGGAGTAAGGATTTTCTGCCCGCCTCCTCCTGGTCTTGTCCTTCCGCTGCGCCAGTCCCAAATAACACACAGAGATTGGGTATTTGATGTTATGCTTTTGGCCAGTTACTTGTTTCTTATTGGCTAGCTCAGTCTTAAGAATTAACCCATTTTTATGTATTTCCATGTGGCCTTACCAAGAGCAGAGGAATGGTGGTTCTGTTCTCTCCAGACTCTCCATCTTGACCCCTCCTTACTACTACCTCCAATCCTCCTTGTCTCCTACTCCCACATATCTTGCTTTCCTATTGGCCAACAGTGCTTTATTCATTAAACCAGTATGAGAAACATATACAGAATGACATCTCCCATCATCTCCTCTTTTCTGTCTAAAATAAAAAGGTTTTTAACCTTAACAGCAAAATATATAACACAACAGTTATCAAATAAGAATCACAGTTAACAATATTTAGTCCATTAACATTTAACAAGATTAAAAGAAACTATTCTATCATCTATCCTATATTTGTGAATATAAAGTCCTATATGTAACTTATCTTTAAGCTTAACTAAGGAAAACTATAACCATAACTATCTGTCTTCAACTCCATCAAAGTCCACAGAAGGATAATATATAAACTCTAGAAATGACAGAGACATCTTGCCTTGTCAGTCACCTGAAGTTCTTCTGTAATCTTCCATCTTCAGCCCTTAGGCCATAGTGTGTCAGGCAGACTCCTCAGCAAAGCAGGAAACTTTAAACTGTCTTCTTGTATTGGCAGTTTGTCAGTCACTTTTCTCTGTGTCCTGAAGACTGTTTGGCAGACTCTTCCATAAAGAAGGAACTCTGTAGCAATGTCCATCTTGAATCAGCAGTAACTTTTCTGTAGGTACTGCATGTCCAGTTTATACAGCATAAAGTCAAATAGTCAAGACAAGAGCAGTATCTTGTCCACATGGATAGTCTTGCCATAATGGAAGCAAAGTCCATAACTTGTTTCTTTAATATCTATCTTCCTTTCTGACGCAGGTGGTATTGCCAGGAGCATTTATGCCTCACTGTCAAGAAAAACCCTAAACCATTTTAAATGCCATATTCTGTAGGTCTTTGAAAGGTTTAAAGAATGTCTATCTATCTCAAATACATCTCTGTGTATCTAGAAAAACCTAACTAACTTAACTCTAAGCTTTGACTATCATAGGCAATTATCTATAATTTGTACTACATTATATATTACATTTCTAAATGAGCTATATAAACACAATACCTAAACAAAAGGAGAAATATACATATCACAAAATTGACCTTAAATTGTATAAATAATTGAAAATCCATTCCAAAACAAAGTAATCATTAATTGAAAATCCATCCCAAAACAAAATATTCATATCTATGGTCCAAATGGTCATGGGTATGAACTGAGACATCGCTGGTGAGACACAACAGAAAATAGAGAGCTTGTCTTTCATTATGGATCTTTAAGGCAAATAAATATGCAGGCAGGCTATTAAAGCCCAGCCCATGACCAACTAACACAACATAGGAAAGGAGCCAACAAACAGGAAACCTCAAGTGTCAAGTTAAGGCACAGCCTCCATGGTCCCACCCAGGATGCCAGGGCAGCAAGGTACTTCTTTCTTTAGTGTCACTGGGAACTGATCTTCCTGTGAGGAAATTGAGAATTATGTCAATGGAAAACCAAGCTTCAACATTCACCTTCCACTGTCAAGTGTGCATCTATCCATCCATTATGTATATAAGCAGTTATTTCTGTATTTTTAAACATTTGAATTGTCCTGGATTTAAATATCTCTAAAGTTAAGGATACTCATTACTTGTGAATCATTCTAAGACCTAATGTGAAAATTTATGTGAAAATTAGAAATACAATTGACACATTTTTTAAAGCCAGAACTGTAGCACTATATGTCTAGTCAAGCTGACTGCTCATTTGCACGTTGTCTACAATCAAAGAATTCTTCTCCTGGAAGTTTAAGTTCTCCCTAGTGAGTAATCGCAAATTGGGTATCAGCTTCTGTTCTGAACCTGTTTTGTACACTCTACACTTTCTCCTTCTGCTCCCAACATTGTGGTAATGGAAATCAGTGTGGAGATGCCTCCAGTAGCTAGGAATAGAATTTCCTTATGCCCTTGCTAATCACTCCTGAGTGTGCATCCAGAGGCCACCAAGTCAAGACACTTTCACATCCATGGTTATTGTGCAGTACTCACAACACCCCAGTTATGGGATGGGCCTAGGTGTCTGACAACAGACAAATGGATAAACAAATGGTAGTATGTTTATGTATTAAAGATTGATTCAGTCAGGAAAAAAAGGAATAAAAATACATATTGGCTGGAAAATTGATACAATTTACATATTAAACAAAACAATCCAGATCAAGAAAGACAAACATCACATGTTCTGTCATTGCAGATCCTAGAGTCTGTAAAGATACATAAAACCTTTTATTTGTATGACAGAAAAACAGAAGCAGGATTGGCAGAAATTGAGAGAGGGGAGAGAGAGAGAGGTGAGGGCCAAAGTTCTTGATCTACTTAAAGGAAAATGTCTTTATAAAACCTGCTACCATGGACAATGAATATACACCAATTAAAAATATTTTGAAAAATGTATAGCCATAAAAACAATCGCAAAAAATTAAACAGTTTCTTTAGTAGAAACAATATGACCATAATTAAGTCAAATAAATATATTTATTTGAAAAAAAAAGGAAGAACTATGCAGAGGATTGATTGTAGATGACCAGCCCAGCCACAAGCTCAGATGCAAGCGTGAAGCTTCCTGCCCTGGTCAACCCTGGCATTCAAAGGAGGTTGTCTCAAAGTTAGGTGATATGGCCTCATAATGAAGCCTTTCAGCTTAAGAGAAATTTACAAACCTGAATACTTTTTTCCTAGGCAGACAAATTTTCCTTGGCAGACAAAAGCTGATGAAGTAAATAGGCTACCTTTCTTTTACTTTACATGATAGGTAAAGCAAGGCATAGAGAGGGGGAAATGGTTCTGGCAGGTACACAGAGACAACAGCAGGGGGCGCTCCCCGCTCACATGCCTAGGGGATGGCTAGGACCAAGTGAGGAAGTGAGGCAGAGGTCAATCCCCAGTAGATCTTGGTAAGGTACAGTCAGGAGTGGAAAAAGAGGCCTTCCTGGAAAGCTAGCTAATCATTCAGCCACAAGGTGAGGCAGGTAGTGGGAGAGAAGAAAGTGTTTCAGAAACTAACCTCAACCAACTGAGTCCTGTCTATGCAATATGGAGCTGGATTTGGCAAAACCAATTGCAGCCCACCAACAGGAGAAAGCAAAGAAACCCTAACAGCTGAACAGGACATTCCTGGGACAGAAATTATATTAACAAGGAGAAAGAATCAGTGGCCAGTTAAGGAAATAGCTCTGACTATGTGAGTAACTCATCTGCAAATTAAAGAGATGGTGTCTCCAGACCTCAGATGCCAAGACCTGAGGTGGTTTTATTTCTTCTGCCTGGTGGCCCAGCAGTGATAAGAGTTGTTTTTCACAGGTAGCTTCTGAGTGTGAATAGTCAGACTTCACCATCAGAGTACAACCAGTGACTCAGTCAAAACCCTAGCTATTCTCAACATTGTTACCATCAACTGTGAGGTCCATAGAAAACAAAGACCCACCCAGATTTACAGACTCTGAACCTGCATTTTAACAAGACCCCTTCGCAACTCGGAGGGTCATGGGCACACTGAGTTCTAAGAAACTATTCTGTTTTTATTTGTTTGTTCATTTGTTTATAATTGATGTGTTCATTTTTCTGGGGGATGAGCTGTAAAAAGAATCGCATTGTGCTGTCCAAATTGCCTCGAACTAAACACCCTCATGCATAGCACTTAGACTACAAATATGTACCATGATCCATCCTATTCTAAGGATGTGTTTTAAACACAAGAGAACTAAACCATCTCTCCTCTATTTTTCTGTTTTTGCTATATACCTGACTACAATGGTCTTCCCAACCATCAAAAAGGTAACTGCTTAATATTTCCAAAAACCTCTTAGAATTCTTCTCCTTACACACACACACACACACACACACACACACACACACAAACACACCTCATTTTATTTCCTGACTCTAAGCACAAATAAATACACTATCTCTTTGACCTAATCAGGAGTTCATCCCTCTAAATAACTGTATTGTCTCTATCTATAAAGCACTTTGTTGCCATGGCAATGCATGCATAATTACATATGTAAGTAATTGTGGCCTGCTGCATATGACAGACTTTCTCCAACAGAAACATCTGTACCCTTACGTGTTCATCTCCGTCTCTAAGTTTTCTCCAAACCCCTTGAATTCTTTGAAACATACGTATGTTTATTTTGGGGGGGCACTATAGTGCATAAAAGGAAGAATGGGACCCTATGAGAGCTATTGTAAGAAAGTTGGAAATCTCCTTCAGTCTGTTGTCAATTTGTAACATAGTTTGGCACAAGGTTGTTGGTTTTTCTTTTAATGTGATTTTCAAAGACCACAATCCTCCCCACTTAAAGTGAAGGGAGGGGGTAATATACTTTCCTGTGCCACGACCATTAGAATGCTCTATAATTCAGAGTTTACTTATTTTAACTAAAATTATTCAGTAAACTGTGCTGACATTAAACATTAACATGGCTATTTTTACGTGGCACAGTTCATTATCCTGCCAATAAATGATTAATTATAACTTTCTGTCCTGGCCAGTAGTTTTTCTGGGATTTTATGATTCATTATGTGTGCTGTGTTGTAATGTGGCCTCTCGAAACTGACATACTAGCATTTATTGTTTTTTATTGCTTCACTAACTTGGCTTTTGAAAGAGACATCAAGTACCACATGTTTAGAAAGGGTTTAAAAGTTTGACGCATTAAGTAATTGTTACTCAGCTGGCAGTAGATACAGAACCGCAGACAGGTGCTTCTGTGGACTTGACCGTTTGCACAGCACAGCCAGTGATGGATAACTCCTCCGTCTGTTCCCCTAATGCAACTGTCTGTGAAGGTGATTCCTGCCTAGTACCTGAGAGTGATTTCAATGCCATTCTCAGCGTGGTGATGAGCACTGTGCTCACCATCCTCCTGGCCTTGGTAATGTTTTCCATGGGGTGCAATGTGGAACTCCACAAGTTCCTGGGACACTTGAAACGGCCATGGGGCATCGTCGTGGGCTTCCTCTGTCAATTTGGAATCATGCCTCTCACAGGTTTCATCCTGTCTGTGGCCTTTGGCATCCTCCCGGTACAAGCTGTAGTGGTGCTAATCCAGGGTTGCTGCCCTGGAGGAACAGCCTCCAATATCCTGGCCTATTGGGTAGATGGTGACATGGACCTCAGGTAAGACAGTGGCATATGAACTTCAGGCTGCTGGAGTTAAGTTTGGCAATTTATAATTTCCAATATCCGTTTGACCAGCTACACTGACTGTATGTCTGACTAGTGAGTTAAATGGGAAGATGAATAAGTGCATCTTCTGGAACAGCTGCTTTGCTGATAGAATTGGGGACTTTCCTTTCATGCCTGCAACAAAACAGTAATTTAGATTTTAATTTTGTATCCTTATAGTATTAGTTAGCACACAAAGAAGTAGGTTTCTGTGGGACATTTGTATATACATATATCATTATCCTTTGTTCTGAATTATCCCTCATTATTATCCTAGTCCCTCTCTTCATCCTACTTGACCACTTCATGTCATATTTTCCGTTTCTTTCCTTGTTTTCAAATTCATGCTCTACCCTGACATTTCCCTGTCTTCTCCTTCTTGTGGGTATATGACTATGTGTAAATATGTGAATTTAAATCTACATATACATCTGAGAAGAAGCCTTGGTATCTGACTTTCTTAGTCTGGATCACTATGCTTGTACATTGAATTCTAACTCAGTTAACAAGAAGATGTATTATCTCTGGGAATAGACTCAAAGTTTGTTTTTAATTAAATAATGCTTTTCCAATCCACAAATGTAACTGAGAAAGTCTTGTTGTAATGGAATAAGTAGGAGCTTTTTTTTGTAGCAAGTGCAAATACAAGCTCAAAGTCTCTGATCGACATCAGCTCCATCAAACCACCTGTTCTTTGGACAAAATAATTCTTGGCTAAAACCTAATAGAGTGCTCATAAATTCACTTTATGTCTGCTGAAACTAAAAGGAAACAATTCCTCGACATTATTTTAATTATGCATACTCGTCTATAAGGTGAAAAGAAAATAATTCCTCTGCTTTTCAACAGAATGATCTAACTGTAATGTTTGTTCAGCCCAACTAGCACTGGGTGGGAGGGAGGAAGACAAGCATTAATGAAACTAAAGCAGGAGTTTTTCATTTTGAAAGTCACACAACCAAATGTCACTTTCCTCATGTTCTGGGGAAGACATGCATTTCAGCTACGCATTGAGCTGTTCAAGAACCATGTGCTTACTAAATACTGGAAAACCTGCCATCAGCTCTTTTAGTTCCTGGCTGCCTGATGAGCAGCATGGAACTAGACATCAACTCCCAATTGCTGTTATTTTCCTGGTGCCTTAGAAAACAAAGAATATGCATTGCTCATTTTTGTATAGGGACATGGAATTGATGCTTAGCAACAGATATTTTTTTCCTTAAATAAAAGCCCTATGAAATAGCACATATTGATAAATGCTATTGGCATTTAGTTAATCTGTGAACCACAATATAATAATCAGGACTTTTTAGGCTTCTTCTCCATTGACATGCACACACACACATGCACACACACACACACACACACACACACAGAGAGAGAGAGAGAGAGAGAGAGAGAGAGAGAGAGAGAGAGATTCTAAGAATTCATGACAACCAGACTGTGGGGAGTGACCCTGAGGATTTGACCTACACTAAATGGCTTTTTGTATAAGATAATTAGTATATGGTACTGTATCAATTCCCTTACATCACTTATACTAAGGACAAATTATTGGCTACTCTAGTCCAGAAGACAATACCATGCTCTACCACAGTGAAAAATAACTTGTGCTATAAATTGTCATGTCTTAGGAGTAAGATTTTCCCTGCCATTCAGGTCCCACTACCGCAGCAGCCTCAAATAATACACACAGAGACTCTGTATTAGATATAATTCTGTTGGCTAGTTACTTGTCTCTTATTGGCTAGCTCTCTCTTAAATATTAACCCATCTCTATTAATCTAAATATTTCCACATAGTCTCATCTTACCGGAGAGAGGGAACTCCTCCCTACCACATCCCGAATCCTCCTTGTCTCCTAGTCCCACCTATCTTCCTTTCCTATTGGCCAACAGGGCAATGCAAGATGTCTGAGGGACTAAAATACTTGCTGCTCTTTCACATGACCTAAGTTTCACTCCCAGAACCTATATCAGGTGAATTAGAACTGTAACTCCAGCTCCAGGGGATAAGATAACATCTTTTTTTTTTGGCACCCATACACATGCATGAATCCAAACACACACAACACAGACACGAACACATTGATAAATAATAAACAAGCAAAAATCGAATAAGTAAATAGAACCTTCATTTTAAAAGATGACATTACATATTTTATGTTAACAAAATGATGTTTAAACATTTCTTTAAAGAAAGTAAAGTCTCAGTTGCTAGGTAATAGTCCTCCAAAATTTGATCCTTCTGGAGTGAGTATTGGATGACATAATTCTGAGAATAATTTACATAGATGAAACCTTATCTATCACTTACTCTGTATCCTTTTTTAAAAATATTTGCAACAAGCATGTTTTACATGTTAGTCCAAGTTCCCTCACCCTCCCCTCCTCCCTGTTCCCCTCCAAAACTCCCATCCAATCCCCTTTCTGCTCCCCGGAGTGGGTGAGGCCTTCCTTGGTGGAATCTTCCAAGTCTGTCATATTATTTGGAGCAGGGCCTAGACCCTCTCCCATGTGTCTAGGCTGAGAGAATATCCCTCCATATGGAATGGGCTCCCAAAGTTCATTCATATACTAGGGATAAATACTAATCCTTTACTAGAGGCCCCTTTGACTGCCCAGTCCTCCTAATTAACACCCACTTTTAGAGTATCTGGGTCAGTCCTATGCTGGGTTCCCAACTATCAGACTGGGGTACATGAGCTCCTCTTTATTCAGGTCAGCTGTTTCTGTGGATTTCTCCAGCCTGGTGTTGACTCCTTTGCTCATCACTTCTCCCTTTCTGCAATTGGATTCCAAGAGTTCATCTCAGCGTTTAGCTGTGGGTGCCTGCTTCTGCTTCCATCAGCTACTGGATGAAGGCTCTAGGATGGCATAAAAGGCAGTCATCAATCTCATTATTGAGGAAGAGCTTGTCAGGTCGCCTCTCTACTATTGTTTAGATTGTTAATTGAGGTCAATCTTGTAGATCTCTGGCCATTTCCCTAGTGCCAAATTTCCTTTTAATCTGTAATGGCTCCTTCTATTATGGTTTCTCTCTTCTTGCTCTTCTCTATTCTTTGATTGAATCAATTCTCCTGCTCCCTCATGCCATCCTCTCCTCTTCTCTATTCCCCCTCTCTTTCTCCTAACTCCTTCTCCCCTCCACCATGCTCTCAATTTGCTCAGATCTTGTCCCTTTCTCCTTCTCCAGTGGACCATGAATGTCTCTCTTAGGGTCATCCATGTTTCCCAGATTTTCTGGATGGGTGTATTGTAGACAGATAATCTGCTCTATGTCTAAAATCCATATATGAGAGAGTACACATCATGTTTGTCTTTTTATGAGTGGGTTACCTCATTCAGGATGGTTTCTTCTAGTTCCGTCCATTTGCCTGTACTCTTAGAAGATTACATGCTCCATTTCCACTTGAACTCTAGCAATGCCAGAAAAGATCATTTTAAATGATTTACTAGAGCTAATGATGATAAAAGCAGCAAGACCATGTCACTTGGCTTTGCCTTTCTTGGATGTTATCCCTGAAATGAGAAACTATTTACCTGCTCCCCGTTTTCTATTCTCAGAATTTCATAATCTACAGTTACTTAAAATGCATGAATAAATGAAAACAGTGATTTTTTTGCAGCAAATAGTATTCAACTGTTTCTTTTGTAAACTTTAACCTGGGATACTGTTTTTTGTAGGTTAGATCAGTACAGAGAAATTCTCAGCTAAACTTTGTCATGGGCATAGAGTGCACAAAATGTATCAGAGAAAAATTAAAGGGACTAGACAAGTGAATCTGATGGTTGCAAAGGTTTATGGGTCAGGGACACAGAAATTTTCTGTCTCTGGTCTATCCCCTCAAAAAGGTAGATACATGATATCTCCATCCTTAGCCATAACCTCAGCTGAAACATGTAAAAACTTTCCTTCATTTCTATTCTATGTCTTTTTTTTTCACCTATCTTATCTCATTCATTCTTTCCTTAGTTTCCCCAATTCCTATTGCTTTATGTACTCATTACTTTCTAGGTTTTTGTTTAGTGATTTTTTTCCCAACCATGATATTTGTCTTTCACCAAAAATTACATATTTCATTTTCCACTTAGATGTTCAATGATATTTTAGACTCTTGGCCCTCTGGCTTGTCAGACCAGTGCCTCCTCTTTCAAACACATCATCTCTTCTCTCCTGTGGGAGAATCAATTCAATCCCATTTGACTCTTTCTTTTATCCTCACTCATGGTAAACAAACACTCTTGCTTCCATGAAATATTGATTTTTATTTTACTAGCTAGTGTTTATTAGACACTTTTAGGTACCAAATATATGGCAAAATTCTTAAAGAACATTGATACACATTTTTTTTCATTCTCTAAAGAATCCTAGGGAATTCTGAATTGTCAGATGAAAAGAATTAATGTTTATAAACTTTGCCAAGGTCATAAAGTTAGTGAATGTCAGTGTCAGGTTTGGGATCCAGACAGACAATATCTGCTGGACTCCTCTTGGCTTCTGACCTTTGATCACATACCTATCACCTGTGCAGTCTACAGAATCAGACACACATTTATTGATACTTGAAAGGTGGAGTTTCACTTTTGATGTGATTGCACTTTTTTTTGTATTACTTCATCCTTGAATTCACTCAATTCCTCAGCAAATACCAAATTATTAGTTATGAACATAATTTCCCCATATACATAAATGTTTTTCTAGTAGTTAATAGACTTATATGAGAATTAAAGCCAAAGTATACTTTTAATTTTCTAATTCATTAGAGTTTCTACCATTCCTATGTGATCTCTCAGAAGTATTTATATTTTCAACACCTATGCCCTTTATAGATCTTAACTTTTTCACATCACATTTGGCAAAGTTATTATTCTCCCTAATTTTTACAAAGGTTCTCTGTGAATCATTTCAACAATATTTTTGTTTTTGTTAATAGCTCAGATAACATCAAAGTCAACCCCTTTTCCCTTTTTCCTCAACATCTTCTTGTCAGGATTCCCACTACATCCAAACCCTTCACTTTCCAACTTCTACATTTTCTCTCCCATTTAGTTTCACTATTAAATTTCTCAAATCAAACTCAAAACCACAACACAATTTCTTTAATTGAACAATGATTCTCATTCAAACTTTTACAAGAATAATTCAAATTATAACAAGAGAGAGAAATCCTGGCTGGCTTCTGATATCTGTTCTTGTAGTTTAAAACCACAACCACTCTCAGCCTCTTCCTCTTCTCAATGAGCTGATAAGAAATCCTGTTCCTGTGAATTCCCTCCTCACTCTCAGGACATTCTAGATGCCCAGCCCAGCAACAAAGGGCTTTTATTGTGGAACAGGTTAAGACAAAGAATGTCAGAACAGTGAAACAAGGAATGGGGAGCAGATTTGAAAATCCCAGTGTGTTAATTACAAAAATAATGAAGCATTGTTAGTAAATGAGTATTTTGTTTGTTTGCTTGTTTCAGTTTTTTGAGTTTTTTTTTTTTTTTTTTTTTGTTATTGTGGTTGTTGTTTCGTTTTGGTTTTTGTTGCTGTTGTTGTTTGTGTGTTTGTTTGTTTGCTATAGGGTGCTACCTTTATTTGTCTACATTATATTCACCTATGACTACAATTAAACTTATGAGAAATTCTGTTAATTTCATTTTAGTTAGTATGTAAAACAACATATTTTCTCATGATGTCTTAGCTCATATGTTATCATTGTGCTTCACTAAATCATTGTCCCCAATGTACTAACCACACATTTTACCTGTCTCCCTTCTACTTAGTCTTCCTCTGCTTTCGTGTCTTTATATCTCATTGTGTGATATTTTTCTGAGGAGATATGAGTAAACAGCTACTCCACATAGACAGGACACCAACAGCAGGAACAAAGGGATGATTCCACAGAAATCTAGTTTAATGAATCAATGAGTATAATTGGAGTTACTTTTACAGGAACATGAATGACTCAGTAACGACCCTACTAACAAAAATGACTCTCATGCTCAAACAACCATTGGCCATATAAATCCTGAGAAAGTACACAGCTTTGTGAGCACACATGCTCTAGCCATGAGAGAAAGTTAATAGGCCCAATCTTGTGAATGTTTTCTCCTGGTAATCACAGACAATGACATACAAAAGGAAAATGGCCTCAAATAGCCATATATAAATTTGGAGAGAGACAGAAACACAAAGAGATACACAGACATATAGACAGAGGTAGTTCTGTATGAGGGCAAAAACATGGTACTTGGCCTTTCATTTTTTCCTGCCTTCAGAAAGTCCTTTAAATGCATCTTTTGTATTAGCTGCTGTCACAGTTTTTAGCTCTATTAACACAAACATCTTAATCAGAATCATTTAAACCCATTTTAAGTACATTCACTTAAAGAAAAAAGATTACTAAAGAAGTAAAGACACTTGAATGACTTTGTTACTATCCATTATTTTGCCCATATTATGCAAAAACTATTATCAGATGCATTAAGATAAAATTATTTATCTTCATCTATTTTCCTTACCACTTTTTGGGGAAGGGGAGACATGTACTGTAAATATAACTGGATTTCTTCTTCCTATTGTTCCAAAAACCAAACAGCACTGGCTGATTAATTATTTATAGTCTGTAAGGTAATAGTGACAAAGAGAAGTCCAATGAATAAACAAGACTCACAAAATAAGGGAAATCACGTTATTCTAGTCCAGTGTGCACCTTTACAACTAAGGTACTAAGTTCTTCAGTTTTACAAGCAGAGAATATAACCCTGTGTCCAGGACATTTTGAAAAGAACCAAGAAGACCCCCTACTCAAAAGCTTCTCTTACATTCTCTGTTATAGTGCTGAAATAGCATAATTTTATTTAAGAGATTCTTGCAGATCAAAACCAAATCTTCCTACTCATTCAGGCCCCCATAGTAAACAAAGTGTTTGCTGTTCTCTATTGACTTAAACAGTGACACTACATTAACTTTACCAGGGAAGAAAAGAAAAAAATCTAATCAGTAAGGATTTTATTCAAGTTCTACTTGTTGAACCAATGAGTTTATTGAACTTCCTTAGAAAGCACAAAGGAGAGGTTACTCCTAGAAGTGTTAATAACCTCAAAACAGAAGCATTACCACAAAGTCCACTCCTTTATGATCAGAGTCTACTCCTGTAGTCAACCTTCCATTTCCTGCATGCTATAACAATTCTCAATATTGCCAGCATGTGGGGATGGGGCAAAAAGGAATGAGTTTCAAACTGGAATTCTGGGTAGGATCCTGTAACCCTCCCGACACCCTTACTACAGGAAAAATATCACCACTTCTGTTATCATTATCATAGACTAGTTAACATCATACTGTTTGTCTTATTGTCATGGCTATTACATCAAGGAAATTTCTATTCCAAGACAGCCCGGTTTGGTAGTTTGTGCTTGGAGGCAAAAGTCATACATAAAAGGTCACAAGCCCAGACAATTGGTACCTTCTTCAATAATCATTTTTAAGCATGATGTTCTGTATGATCTATGAGAACAGACACTGAGAGAAGGATGGATTATGAAGACTCTATGAGAAGACAGCAAGTACCGGTGACTCTGTCCTAAACCAGGCACTTTACATAAATAGCACTTACAGTCTATGACCAATATGTATTTCTATCATCATATAGAATGATGTACTGGTTGTGTCTCACAGAAATCGAAAATGAAAGAGCACATTCCATAGAAAACCACCCCTTACCAGCAGGAAGTAGCTTGGAAAGAACGATGCCCAAATTCCCAAATATTGTGTATAAATGTTTGTTTTCATTTAATTGGACTTTGTTATATAAAATTAAATAAAATAAAAAAATATAAAAAAACCTACAAATTAAAAAAAAAAAAAAAAGAAAAAGAAAACCTTAAGCTGTTTGTCTCATTCCAGTGTTAGCATGACAACTTGCTCCACACTGCTTGCCCTTGGAATGATGCCCCTTTGCCTCTTCATCTATACCAAGATGTGGGTTGACTCAGGGACGATTGTGATTCCTTATGATAGCATTGGTAAGTAATTTCTCTGTACCATGCTTTATATTATCCTCAAGATCTCTGCTTAGTCCTTGCTAGGCTCTCAGGCCAGGCTCCAAGCTCACACTTATCATTTCACTTTGACCTAAGGACAGATCTTTTCCCACATATTATTTCATTATGAATTTACCCTTGAGTCTGTAAAAGTATTGAAAGAATGGAAATTCCAAAACTTGACTATATTATGAAAAACTAAATTTGCCTCAGTTCAATGTAACATGAAAAAGAAACAGCTTTAGGAATGCAACCTTAACCTAAGAGTCTTCCCTGAGGGAAATTAGGCCACTTGTAAATGGAGCCACCATTTTTCCAGTGGTGGGTTTATGGTATTGTGTCTTTGAACTACACATTCAAATTGAAGAAGCACACACATAAATAAATAAATAAATAAATAAATAAATAAATAAATAAATAAATAATGCAATTTCAGGATAGTAAGTAGTCATGGGGGCAAGGCAGAAAGGGAACTCCTGGATGAGATATATTGTTCTTATCCTCAACCGTAAGCCATATATTGATATAAAAGTCAATTTAATGGTACTCTCTGTAATTTCTTTTTTTTAAGTTAAAAATTATTTAATTTTTTTATTTCTGGTACCACTACCACATTTACAGGACAACATACCTGATATAATGAGAAGAAAAAAGAAAAAGACAAAGCTAGATAAAAGGCCTCAAGAATGTACATCTAATTGACACTACATTGCATTAATCAATAGTTGCACTTTTTGCAAACTGTGGCTATGACTGTCCTGAAAAAGATGTGTTTCCTGTTTAAGCTGCAGAAACTTTTCTGACAGTGGATCATTGTTACTTCTATGGCAAATTTTTACACTTCTTCTAATACATTTAGGACAACTTTCTCAAAGTACCTGCAGCTTTCCTAAAAACTCCCCCCTCTGTCTCCTGCTAAGAAATTTAGCTATTTTCTGCTGTAGATTTTTTTAAACCTTCTGCTACCATATCCACCACTTCCACCACCAGCTCCATAGCCACCACCATAGGGACTGCTTGAGCTTATTTCACCAAAACTGCCCTCTTTCATGGGTCCATAATTTGATTGCTGTTGACCACTATAATTTCCAAAGTCATTATAGATTCTACTACCATAGTGACCTCCACTAAAACTTCCTCCTTCATCCTGGTCGATCACCACCATAGCCTACTCTACTACTGTAACCAGGATACCACCATAGTTGCCATTATCTCCTCAAAATCCATTCTATCCACCATTGCCACCTCTATAACTACCTCTGCTGCCACCACCTCCACTACCATAGCCTCCTCTTTCACCAAAGTTTCCACCATGACCAAAATTACCTCTACCACCTCCAAAGTTTCCTCCACGACCTCTCTGCGATCCAACAGACTGCATCTCTTCTTGTTTATAAAGGGCCCTTTCACTTCACAATTATGTACATTATTAATGTAGTATTTCTGAAGAATAATTTTATCAATGGTGTCATGATCATCAAAAGTTACAAAAGCAAATCCTCTCTTTTTTCCACTCTGTCTTCGATCATTTTTATGGTTTCAATCTTGCCAAGCTTTTCAAAGTAGTCCTTCATATTATATTCTTCTGTATCATCTTTAATACCACAAACATTTTCTTCACTGTTAAATGGGCACCAGGCTTTATAGAATCCTCTCTAGAAACAGTTCTCTCTCAGTTCCACCACGTGCTCATCAACTTTGTGTGGTCAAGTAAACATTGCAACATTCACCTCTTCAACAAAAGAGTAGGTGACAAAACCAAAGCCCCTGGAAAATTTTGTTTGGGGGACCTCTCATTACCACACAATCTGTAAGTGTGTCCCATTGTTCAAAATGTTCTCTTAAGCTGTCTTCTGTGGTTTCAATGCTTAGACGACCAATAAACTGTTTCCTCAACTGATTGAGTTCCTTTGAAACATGGCCCTCCAATTTGAGACTGGACTTGCCTCTTCCAACTCAAGTTAAATATCTCCCTGTATTTTTATATCCCAGAAATCAAGCTTGCTAATTACTATTCTGCCTCTATTCATTTCTCATTACAAATGCCTCCCCATCTAGAAGAAACTTCTTTTCTGTTTTGGGAAGAAAAAAAAATGGTATAAGATAAATCAGTTGGTATAACATGAAAATGGGGTCAGGGACACACTGAGAGAATGACCAGCATGTGCAAAGTATGCAGTCATTTAGAACTACCTTGATGGAAATGAGTTGTAGAAAATAAAATACGTAGCAATGGTCAACAGATACACTGCATGACAGTCTCTCTCTCTCTCTCTCTCTCTCTCTCTCTATATATATATATATATATATATATATATATATATATCTTTTTAAATTTATTTATTTTATATCCTGACTACAGTCTCCCCTCCCCCCATCTCCTCCCATTCCCTCCTGCACCTCTCCTCTGCTCCCCCCACAATCCATTCCTCATCTGTTTCTGTTTAGAAAGGGGCAAGCTTCCCATGCATCTCAACAAAGAATGGAATGACAAGTTAAAGTAAGACTAAGAATCTTTCCTTGTATTTAGGCTAGACAAAGCAATCCGGTATGAATAATGGGTTCCCAAAAGCTAGCCAAAGAATTAGGGACAGCCACTGCTGCTATTGTTAGTTGTCCCACAAGTAGATCAAGCTATAAGCTGTCACATATATGTAGAGGGTTTAGATATGTCCCATGCAGGGTGTCTGGTTGTTGGTTCATAATCTGTGAGTTTCTATGAGCCAGGTTAGTTGTTTCTATGGATTTTCTTGTGATGTCTCTGACAGCCTCCTTTTAAGCTGACTTTGCAAAGAATTCTTTCCTAATCTCTCTTAGAAAGGTTTGGGTTTATTATTAACAGAAGCATACATTCAAGTTCAAACAGAAACTCCCCAAGATATTAAAAAAGAAATTCCTATGTGGATGGAAAACTAGACTAAATGTCACTCCCATTTCACAGAAAGATTATTTTCATGATTAAATGTGATTCAACCTACAGACAACTGAGTTAGGGCAAATTTTGTGAGCACTGACTCTGAGGTAGGCAGCTATATTTCAATTTTGCTGTCCCACATTAAATTGTGAGTTACACCTGATTTAAATGGGGGATTTTAAATCTATAACATCCCCATACTGGCCCCTGAGTAACTCCCAAATGTCAATGGAATCTTCTTCCAACATGGTTTATAGTGACATCCTGCTTGCATTGCAAACTCTACCCTCAGTGAAAACCTTCCCTAGAGTTAAATAATTCCACCTGTTTCAACACTGTAGGTGTCTCCAAGAAACTGTTGGCTGACTAAACCATTTTGTTGGACATTATTCAGTGCTAAAGCAAACAATTCAAGCCTTAACTATTCTATTTTTGATATTCAGTCCCTTCTGGAAAATGTCCTATGGGACTATTACCAAATCTGTACTACTATGTGGATGATTTATATCATATAATTTAAGTCAGATACATTTTGAGTTGGGTTTTGTTTTGTAACAAGGTATCACAATGTAGCTCTGTCTGTCCTGGAACTTAATATGTAGAGCAGGTAGGCCTCAAACTCACAGAGATCTTCATACTCTGTCTCCCAAATTCTGTGATTAAAGGTGTTGTCATGGTGCCCAGCCAGACCAGTAAATTTTGAAAGGAGGAAAAAAATGTTAGATGAATTAGCATGTCCATAGGGAATGCCCTAATAAGATGTCAAAATCAAGAAGGAATAGAAAACCAGAAGATTGAAAAGAAAGAAAGAAAAAGTGAAAGTGTTTTGAACACAAAAATTATTTGCTCTCAATGTGTGCCTAGGCAATTCTCCAAATTGACCTTTTTTCCTGTTTGTTTTCTAGTCTTTTAATGAGTGCAAAAAATGAACTAGCATCCTCATGAGATGTTGTCATCACTTATAAATGAGTATTTTGCGGTTTGTAGGAATTATTTAATTTGCCCTGGATTACTGGGGAGCTGGGAGTAGCTACTGGCAGGCTCTCCAACCTACTCTGCAGGCAGTGTGCTTGTAACACCTTTCATATTGCTCAATGTGCCCTGGCATGTGGCTGAAAAGAGGCCCTTCTGCAGCTTGAGTCACAAAAGCTTAACTGTGTCAGGTAGCTTTACCAAACATAAGTGAGTAACTGATGTCAACATCATTGTGCATATCACCACAGCAGTCAGGCAAGCTTCATTCTACCCAACTGTTTTGTAGGGAAACATAAGGAAGCTACAGCTTTCTGTACACATTATCATCTTTTCTTCCATCCTCTTCAACTCCCCTTTATTTTGTCCTATTCCCACTATGTAGTCTTAAATAAATAGTACATGGTTGTTATGATATATGTAAACATCTCCTTTTGGATATGTAAAAGAGGCATCTTACACAGATAGCACTGACAATAAATCAGTAAATTGAGAAGATTGGAGAGTAGAGATGCAGCTCCCCAGCTACTGGAGAATAAGGATTACAGCACCATTCCTCCACATGTAGGGGCTGTACTGGTGGGTATAAAGAAGAACTAGAACTGAAAACCTTCATTGGCTTTACCTGGCCCAGAGATTGCATGCTCTGTCATGTGTATTCCAAAGCCTTGTTCATATTGCCATGTCACCTGAGGCTTCCCCAATATGGGAAGACTCTAGGGTAAAGGAACCAAGTAATTGTATTGGGATAATTTTAACTCAAAGTCTATAAAGTTTATTGTGTGGCCTAGAGTTCCAAGAAAATAATCTCTTTGCAATGGTAGATACAGGGATAGGGACTTTCTAGAAGAGCTGACCAGTAAACCCCACACTATTCTCCACAGCTCTTCCTTTGCTCTTCTGAATTTGAGTAGTTCTTATCTTATTGTCCTTCCTCTCCTTTTTCTTTCTTTGCTCTATCTTTCTCTTAGTTATTATTTTAATTCTGCTGAGTAATTTGAGAGCAACAATAAGTTTTGATACATTGAAGAATTTGTTATCAAATGCAGTCCATATTTGTTGGCCAAATTTGAGTCAATCTATCCAACACTAAGCTCTTTCTCAAATTTCTCTCTCAAAATTTCACCATTTGGTTTCACTTTCTCATACTAATTTAAAACAGTTTTGGCAAAGAAACAGTCCATGAGAAGTTGGAAGTCTACAGTTGTCTGTTAAACAAAAGGATTACTGGGCAAACAAGTGTTAAATAATATAGAAACACAAGTCGTGTGTCACAGAAATGCAGTAAATTTCCCACGGTGAAGTTGAAATATGACTCTTTTACCTGGTTGGGTGAACACGGTGCTGCAAAGAATTACAATTACATGAGAAGTTGCCAGATGTATTATCTAACAGAAAATTTAGGACATGGTTTTTCATCTTATTCTCTCAATCTCTGTCATAAATTTGAATAACTGAAATGAATTTTAAATAATGTCTTAGCTTTCAAAATTCCTATGAATTTTAAGTAATTTTTAAAATAATTTTTCTACTTTTAAATTTTTAAATGTTTATTTTTTACCATCATGAAATAGCAGGCTTATGAAGAATATATCTACGTACACTACAATAATACACACATTTACAAACTATGGGAAGATATTTTTTTCTGAAAATATAAAGACCTAATAGACTAAAGAAGCAAAAATGTTGTCAAATAGAATTAAAGTAGATTGGTAACATAAGATACACTAAAGCAGTCATCCCTGGATTTAGATAAATTATTTATATCATCATTTCTCTACTTGTTATTAACTGGAATTGAGAGAGAAGAGAGATATGTTTAAAAACAAATGTGTATGTATGAATTTGTGTGTGTATGTGTAATTCTGCATTCTGTTTTCAGCATTCAAGAAGACAGAAGAACACGGCTAAGACTTTTCTAGGATACTTACATTTGCTTTCCCTTGTATTAATGTTGTTTTCATCATTGCTAGGCACTTCTCTGGTTGCTCTTGTTATTCCTGTTTCCATTGGAATGTTTGTGAATCACAAATGGCCCCAAAAAGCAAAGATCATACTTAAAGTAAGTACCCTGTGCATGGGATAGACTATACAACTCAGTGTCCTGCAGTCATAACTGGAATGAGATGGTCTTTCCATCTCTTAAACTGTGCTGTTTTCATTGCATCTACCTTCTGGAACACTTGCCATTGTCAGTCCTAAAGTCCTCCCTTAGGGAATGTCCTTTCTGATCCTATCTGAGGGGCAAATTTTCATCACTTAAGACACCAATTCGAGGGTTAGTTACAGGTTTTACTCTGTTCCCAAATGGCCTTGCTATTATATAGGCTGAGCTTATGGTATAAAATATATCTAGGTAGCTTTCAGAGAAGGTACAGCATAATCATGTCTAGAACATGTCTTTCATACTTAGCATATCTTTCTCATACCTAGAACTCCCCAAAACTAATAGACACTAGCATGTGGGATGTGGAGGAATAAGATAGTCAGGATTACTTGTTTTACAGGAAAAAAAAACAACAAACTTTTCATCTTTAAATGGTTTTAATTGTATTTAAAAAAAGAAAATATATCTGGGGAGATGGCCATTAAGAATATGAACTGCTTTTGCAGAGCACCCACAGCAGTCTGTTCAAACTCTTTTGGACTCTATGGGCACCAAAACTCATGTGCATGTATGTGCACATGATCATACATGGTGTAAAATTGAACCTTTTTTGAAAAGAAAAATATTACCATGGCTTATGCTTATTTGACTTTTATGAACCCTTATGTCCATTTCTTATTAATATAACAAACATAAAATGTGACTTGGGAAAGATTTTATGTTTTGTAAGCTCAGAAATATTCCTTGTGCCACTTAAGCATGAATACACTATCATGATGTTTCCTTTGTCTCTAGAAGCATTTCTTTTCCCACAAAGCTGAAGGGACACAGAAAACTCTATATTCATTTCTCCAAAAGAACACACTGCCCAAACTTCTCCCCTGACAAACATCTCTGGACTCACTTTGACACAAATATATTTACTTGTGCCTTTTCTTCTAGATTGGATCCATTGCAGGTGCAATTCTCATTGTTCTCATTGCTGTGGTTGGAGGAATACTGTACCAAAGTGCCTGGATCATTGAACCCAAACTGTGGATTATAGGAACCATATATCCTATAGCTGGCTATGGCCTGGGGTTTTTCCTGGCTAGAATAGCTGGTCAACCCTGGTACAGGTATGAGCTTTAGATAAATGGCATTTAGCATTTTAGTTTATAACAGCTACTGCACTAGTTTCCTGGGGTGCCAAAACAAAACAACCATATGGCATAAAGAGATAACTCAGCACCCACATCCCTGCTCAAAGTCATCTGTAACTCCATTTCTTGAGTATCCAATACCATTTTATGGCTTTTGCAATCATCTGGCACACATATGGCATATAAGCATATATGCATACAAAACATACATTCATATAAATTGATTAATTAAAAAATAAGAGAACTACCCCCAAGTGGGCCATTTTGACTAAAAAAAAAAGCACATTCTTACTGTTTCATGGGTAAGAAATCATACTTAAGGCAGCACAGAGCTTTCTCTGCAGTCTGTGGTTAAGGATTTATTAGAGGGCTCTCACTTTGGCTTTTAATGTCTATCTTTTCCTGTGTCTACTCACATTTATTTCCTCCTGTGCCTGATTCTGAGTTCAAATTACCTACCTTTTATAAAAACAGAAGTTACTTTAAATTACAGGGCACCCTAATGACATCATTTTAACTAATTATGTCTACAATAACCCTGTTTCAACATGAGGTCACATTATTAAATATCCAGGGTTAGCTATAGGATGGCAACATTTGAGTTTGAATGAGGGATGTACTCAAATCATAGAAGCTAAAAATAGTGAAGTCAAGTTAAAAATCCTTCACCATTAATTACTGATTGCATCATTTTTTCATAAATTATACAAATCTCCAAGTACTGGCTGCCTTTGTTCTTATTAAATCAGAGTAAGCCTCATGAAAATAGTCAGTCTAGTCAGTCTTATCTTGTGATATACATAGGTTCCTCCAACCAGCACCAAATGGACTCATCACCCAAAGGTGATGGACACTAAAGTATGCTTATAATTTATCTAAAAACATTTTTTTCCAAGTGATCCATCTAATTCAACAGACAGGCAGGAAATTTGGAATAGAAACAGGTACTAGTGTGCTTCAGAGAAAGAGGTGAGCAAACTTGAAAGTGTGGGGAACATTATACTTCACCAGACAGACTCAGGCTTCATTCGAGGCCTGCCACTCAATCACTGGAAGACTTCGGGCTACAAAATTACTTTATCTTAGTTTTATTTATTGAAGAATAGAAACATTAATTTTTTACCTTGCTTATTTTTAATCAAGATTTTATCAGAACAAAGCTAATTTTAAAATAAATGCCCTATGAGAAATACCATAACTTCAATCTTTCCAGACCTGATCCCTCCTGTATTCTTACACTATGTATATAATTTGAAAATGGGTGAAATGGACCTCCTTTGCAATACACGGAATATTATTACAAATTATCCTACCCATCACATTATAACTATATTGGGACTAGAGAAAAGGTTCAGTATTTAAAAGCATGTACTGCTTTTCTAGAGGACAGTACTTTGCATCCTAGCATCCACATTGGGTGATTCAGAACCACCTGCAACTCTACCACAAGGGGCACCCAATCTCTATGGCCATTATGCACTTGCATTCATTTGCACATACTCACATGCATACACACAATTAAGGATAAAGTAAAGCTTAAAAAACTGTGTATAATATGTTGTTTTATATAAATGCACTTATGCAACATACAGTTATGTTAAAAAACAATATACACCAAATGTGGATGTTAAAAGCATAGATAAAATCTAGGGACATGCTTGTAATCTCAACAATAGGAAAACCTAAGTAACAGGATTGACACAAGTTAGAGGACAACCTAACTTGGACTTCATAGCGAGACCTATCTCAAAAGGCTAGAAAGGTATGTACTCACTCATATATGGATTTTAGACCTAGAGCAAAGGATCACCAGCCTATAATTCACACCACCAGAAGAACTAGGATACAAGGTGTATTCTAAGAGATTCATATAAGGTCTCTCACAAAAGGGAGAAGGGACAAGTCCCCCAGAACACATGGGAAGTGGGGGGAGCAGTAAATTGAGAGAGGGGGGGGAGGAAAGGAAAGCATGTTGGACTAGGAAGATTAAGTCAGGGTAGGAATAGAAAACAGGAGAGAGAGAGAGAGAGAGAGAGAGAGAGAGAGAGAGAGAGAGAGAGAATGAACATAAAAGAGGGAGCCATTATTGGTTTGAAGAGAAAATTGAACATAAAGAAATGTCTAGAGACCTGCAAGACTGACTCCAACTAACAATTTGAGCAACAGTGGAAAGGCTACCATAAATGCCCTTCCCTGATAGTGAGATCAACAACTAACTTATCCACCATCATGGAGCCCTCATCTAGTACCTGTTGGAAACAGAAGCAAACACCCATAACTAAACACCGAGTCGAACTAGAATCCAGATGTAGAGAGAGAGGACATGACCAGGTTGCAGAAAAACATAGAAACAGCTGACCCGAACAAGGAGGAGCTAATGGACTCCCCAGACTGATAGCTGGGAATCCAGCATGGGACTGATTCAGACCCCCTGAATATGGGTCTCAGCTAGAAGGCCTGAGCAGTCTAAGGTATCTCAGACAGAACCAGGGTATATTCCTGGTACACAAAAGGACCTTGTGGACACATCCCTTATAGAGGGACACTCCCTTAACCTAGAGACAGGAGAGAAGTCATAGTCCCTACTTCAAATGACTTTGACAGATTTGCATGACCCCACCTGGATAGCATTGCTCTACATGTGGAATGTGGGTGGGAGGATGGGAGGTGAGGGGGGTCAGGGTGCATGTGAAGGGGGAGAGAGGGAGAGGGAACTGGGATCGACATGTAAAATAAAAAAAAAATAAATAAAATTTGAAAAAAAAATAAAACCAAAAAAAAAAAAGTTTAGAAAGGAAGAAGGCAGGGAGGATGGGAGGGAGGGAGAGAGAAGGGGAAGAATAGAGGGAGAGGGAAGTAGGTAAGGGGGGAAGGAAATAACGTAGAGAGAGATTGAGGACAATGAAGAAGAGATAAGGGAGAGAGCAAGGAAAGAAGGGATGGAAGGAAGGAGAGAGGTAGGAAGAAAGAAAACAAATTGCAGTCTGTGTCCAAAGTTTCATCATGTACCTTCCTTTTCTGTTATATCATAAGTCTGATAACAGGCAAAGCATATACATTTTTTTAACCTTACTCCCAGGTGTCGAACAGTTGCCTTGGAAACCGGGTTGCAGAACACTCAGTTGTGTTCCACCATTGTACAGCTTTCCTTCAGCCCTGAGGACCTCAACCTTGTGTTCACCTTCCCACTCATCTACAGTATTTTCCAGATTGTCTTTGCAGCAATATTATTAGGAAGTAAGTAATAATGTTAATCAAATTCTACTATGATGGTCCTGGAATTGCTAAAGAAGACTTTTCAGAGATTCTCCATTTCTGGCAGTTCATTGTACAAATAAGTTTGAAGAAAATCCCTGCACATAAATCACTTACCATAACTTCATATATGCTGATGCCAAGACTATAATTGTATCATACCACTCAGTGAGACTGCTTTAAGAAAAAGGCAGAAGAAATGGATCATCTCTGTTGACTTTGTCTTCCTCAGTAGTCAGAGACGCATATTAACCTTCAAGGAACACTTAATATGTGCACTTTTCTAAATGTTTCAAGGAACACATGTTTTAGTGATCCCCCCAAAGCCTAATCTGGTTATGCTTTTTAAATAAGGTACTTCACAGAAAAATGACAAACTGTATCTATCATGAAAAATCATGTCAGATGTATGTGTAAATTTGATCATGTTGATTTTAAATATTCATATAACTGAAAAAGTGTAAGCAAAGACATACTAGATATAGATAACCTGATTCTTAATTTTATTTATTTATTTATTTATTTATTTATTTATTTATTTATTTAGGTTTTTCTCTGTATTGCTTTCAGAGCCTGTTCTGGAACTAGTTCTGTAGACCAGACAAGTCTTGAACTCACAGAGATATACCTGCCTCTGCCTCCCAAGTGCTGGGACTAAAGGCATGTGCCACCAACTCCCAGATGCCCTCCCCTCCAATTCTTAATTTTTGTTGTCATAGCATAACTTCATACTCCCTCATTTGGTCCATACCAACTCTCAATCACCAATTTGGAGCTTCTCCCTACATTTGACTATTCAAAATCTGATGGTGCTTAAGCCTCATTTTTAAAGTCCTATTTAAAACAAATAAATATACTTCCATTTAAAGTTTCATGATATTTTAATAGAAAATGGAAGGTGGAAGTGCATGACAAAAATACTATGAAGATTAAGTTGTGAAATGTCCAGAGATAATTTCACTTATCTTTGCATTATTTTTATTAACAGCTCCACTATGTATCCATGTGCCTGCAGGTATCATCATACTAATGTCTCAGCATTATTTTGTCAGATAGATTATCATTTCCAGTATGGGTATCTTATATCACAGAAAATATCATATGGATCCATCAGGAGTCTGGCTCTGAAAAAATGTAATTAAGTAGATGGTTTGAGTTTTTAGCCAGACAATCTAGCCTAACCTGTGAGTCTCGGCCAGTGGAAATTCCCTGTTTCAACAAGCAATATAAATGGCTCCTAAGGAGAAACATCCAAGGCTGACCCTTGGACTCCACACTTACACACATACGTGGGCATGCATCTGAATACACACATGGGCCTGCATGCACAGGAGCAACATATACACACACAAGTGCAGACACATTCACAAAAACATATAAGGAAAGAAAGAAAAAAGATGCTGAGAAATACCACTGAAGAAAGGAAGTCAGGTGAACAAGAAAGAATGAGTGAAGACAAAAGACAGGGCATGTTATTTTGACCCAACACTTTCTGTAATGGATGATCACACCAATGTCCGGGACATTACACATAGGAATACAGTAAATTTAGCTAATGACTACCACAGTAACTGGGGTCGTATAAACACAAAATAAATTACTTTTTCCTTGCTGTTAAGTACCATATACAGCTTAAAGACATGAAAAGGTCATATACTTATGCTTAACAAACATCTTCTCAAGCTCTCCAACAGACTTCTTCAGTGCAGTCATTGCTGTCTGCATATGGGAAACCCTAAAACTAAAAGAATGAGTGTTGGTTTCTCATAACACCTCTAGTCTATAGAAAAAGTGTTTTCTGAGCTGCACAGAGCAATAACTAGCTAAAGTAATTTTTCAAGGTGTCATTCTGAAATTTACTTGACATTTTTTTTTTTTTTTCAGTTTATGTCGCGTACAAGAAATGTCATGGGAAAAATAATACTGAGTTACAAGAGAAGACAGAAAATGAAATTGAGCCCAGGTCATCAGTTCAGGAGATAAACAAAGGATTTCAACCAGATGAAAAGTAAAAACTTAGGGGAAAGAAAAGAACAACATTCATTAAACTACAACTATTTTATTTGGTGAAATGATCAGCAAAAAAAAAAATGTTAAAAGTTCAATTCAAATCGAAATTTGTTATTGTTTGGGTACAAAGTGACTAGCAATCCATTCTTTATTGTGACAAACATCTCTGTGTGTGTGTGTGTGTGTGTGTGTGTGTGTGTGTGTGTGTGTGTGTGTGTACCTGACTTATTTCTCAGTATACATAGGGGACTGGTCACAGGATAACTCTTGATACCAAATTCACAGAAGCTTAAGTTTTTTTCATAAAATGGCAAAATGTTTCCAAACATAAACTTTATACACTTCAGATCAATACTAACTTTCTTAAAATATTTAACAAAATGTAAATGTTATGTAAATAGTTGTTTTTCTGTATTGTTTAGGGAATGATGTTTTTTTTAAAAAAAATCTGTGATATTTTATGTTCAGTGCAGATATTATTTTTCCAGATATTTTTGGCAAAATTTTGACCATAGATGTCAAACTTAACCTTGGCAGGGAAAATGAATGTATATAGAATGTATAAGTAGATGTCAGATAGATGGTAGATTGATAGATAATAGATAGATATAATCAATCATCATTAATATATTATCAGAAAACCTCTACAGACCTAATTGAATATAGATCAGACTGGAAACCTTGTCATAGCAAACATTTCAGAAACAAGCACTTTTATATGTTAAAACATATAACAGATTGTTACTATAAAATGTTGATTTTCTTCAGTATCTATGATTGTAAAAATATGTGAATGAATGTACTCCTTTGATATTTGAATCATCAGTTTGAGACTTTGCAACCTATTTATTTATGATGTTTATACCATTATCTGTAAAGTATCTGTCTTTGTATTTCAGAAAAGTGGCTTCTTCCAATGAAATTCCAGTAGTGAGAGAAATGTTACTAATGAATTCAATAACAAACTAGCACTGGGTTAAATTCATCAAGGATATTTTACATCCATTCACATACTTCTAGGGTCCACCAATTACCACTTTATCTTTCAAGGAAAAGACCTCATTTAGAACAGATTATATTTGGAAACTAGTTTGTTTAACTCTAGAGATGTTTACTAAAGGGTGAAGCAGGTTCAAATTGGCCAATAATAATAGCTACTAAGCTCATAAGTGCAATAGCAGCCATCATGAGCAGAGAGTTGTCAGAAAATACTAGGGAAAAATACTACTAATCTAGGAGATGAGCTGGTACAATGAAAGAGACAAAGAAACATAAAGAATTGCACACACAAAAGAAATATGGTCGAACCAGCACTTAATATGGCCAATCTGCTGTGTGGCAGGAAGTGACTACAAGAGAATTCATGTCAGGGAGTGATATTTGAAGCCATCCCTAGGCAGTAAAGCAGGAAAAGCATCATGCAGATGCCACAGATATAAAGGAAGAGGTCAAATAAGATTTAGTAAAAGCCAGCAAGGGTATACAGCTGCCATGTGGGTGGAATTGGTCAAGTACTGGGCTTTTCAATGGATTTCTAACTTCATTGACTTTTCTTCAGATATTCTCTTTAACTTATGGATTTATTCCCTATAATTATGGATTCCTTTAATTTATAATGTTTTAGTTCTAAAAACTTTATTGAATTTGCATGGTCTAATTCACATTGGACTGGTAGATAAAAAAGTTATAGGAACTCAGCAACACCTGCACAGGCATGAGGGCTTCTGGTGGTCAACTTGAAAAATTTTGGCTTGAGAAATGACACAGTCTGTAAAGTGTTTGCTATGAAAGCATGGGACCTGAATTTATCTATCAATACTCATGTAAAAAATGACAATGTCTACCTGGAATTCCAGTTTCAGAAAGGAGAAGCAAGGAGGACCACAGCCAAAGCCAATAAGTAAACACTGGATTCAGTGACAGACCATTGTCTAAAACCTGAAGTGAAGAACTATAAAGGAAGATGCCTGCCATTGACACCTTCCCCCAAACACACACAAGCACAGAGTGAGCATTTGTACATCAATAGACAAATGCAAAAAGTTGAACTAGGGATGTTCTTAAGGCATTGATTGAGAGAGGAGAGGAGAATGGATTTTCTTCTTAGGAATGTCAAGGAAGTACCTCCAAGGATGTAAAAGGAAGTCTAGCTGTTAAGTACCTTCTACACTTTCCTCATTAAGGAGAAAACAGACAGGTGCAATAAAGACTCCCTGTGAATTTCTATCAAGGTTTCAACACAACCAAAGTCAAGGGCCTGGATACCACCAGGTGCAACAGTAGGGTTTTTCCTCCTTGTTGATTAAGGGATGTGAATGACATAGAACCTTGCTTTCTTATAAGATGTGGTATCTTGTGAGTTTATTTTTCCCCTAATATTCTAGAAGGAAGAAAAATAGCTAAGCTTTCTAAATTTACAGGTCTTTATTTTGAAATGAGTGTGAAAAGCTGATGAAATCATGTATATTATTGCCTCATATTAAATTATTGTTTCATATTAAATAAATATTTTATTTTAAAGGTATGAATAAATGAAAATGAGTTTTGTAAAATCTGGTTAGTGGAATCTTTGTGAATACTGTCAAGATGTCCTTGCTGCACAATCCTAGAGATACAAATAAGATGGAGTTCCTGGGATCTTAAATTGTTCTTTGAAAAGTGGCTGAAAGAAACTCTTAATTAAATACACTAGTAATCGGGTCTCCCTCTGATGTCAGTTTTGGTTTCCCCCTAAGAAAATCATGCAGAAGAAACACTAATCAAAGGCTTTTAAAAGTGATGTGACAATGATTGCAAATTTAAAATAATAATAAATACTTCATGTACTCATTAATAAAGCTATCACCCTATATGAGTTATGTGTGTGTATGTGGAGAAAGAGAGTAATCATGTATTAAAATCTCTCATCAGAGTCAATGAGAAGAAATTCAAGTTCTCACCTTTATTTAACTCCTCAAACATACCATTTTATTCTAAGTTAAATGTAGGAGACACTCATTTTCTTAAAAAAACAAACAAAAAAAACCTTAACTTCCTTGGAATTGGTCTTCCACTGAGGAACCAGAGAGAGAGAGAGAGAGAGAGAGAGAGAGAGAGAGAGAGAGAGAGAGAGAGAGAGAGAGAGAACCAGTTTCCCTTTCTATGTTTTCCATATTCTGTTTTGCAAATATGCCCTGTCTGACATATTCAGTGCTTGATTTATCCTCCATCCTTCTTTCTCAACTTCTTGTCCACAGCATCTCTACTATAAGGCATTGGCCCAGAACAGAAAAAAAGTCAATCAATTCAAAATAATTGATATCTGAGGGAAGAGTCACATCTTTTCCTAGTTATACACACATTTAAAAGTTTAGAACCAGAAGGTTTGGGCCCGTGTTTGAATATTTTTTAATGTTAAAGACTACGTGGTTGGAGTGAAGACAGAATATCAGGACTTAGAGATAAAGTAGAGGAATTGGGCCACTCAATCAAAGAATACGAAATTAGTTTTAAAACACAATAAAAAAAAATCATAAAAAGAACAAATCTATGAACTATAGGCACAGTAGAAGATAATTCTCAAATTACTGGTATAGACTTGATTTTCAATGGGATCATTGAAGAAATTCTCCAAATTAGTAAAAGACATATCAACATGGATTTTACAAACCATATAGAACATTCCTGTTATAATTTTAATTTTTCTTTATTCTCTCATACATCTCTACAGCAGCCTCCTCTCCTCCAAGCTCCCTCCAACTCCTCTTTCTCTTTCTCAGATGCACTGCTCATCTGTTTCCCTTCAGAAACCAGCATAAATTAAATCAGCACAATCTGTAGGCCTAAGGAAAAACAATAATATATAGCCAACTATTGTGATGTATGTATAATACTAGTAGCTGTATGGCGAGGCAAGAAGATTGCTGTGAATTCCAGTTAAATCTGGGATACACATTGAATTCAAGTCAGTCTGGGCTGTATATGAGACTCTTTCAGGAAAGAAAAGACACACTAACATAAAAAGCATATTACAAAGTAGGGAATCTAAAATGCATGAAGTGGGATTGGGATAGGTAAGAGAATTTGTTCATGACCATGAGGCTCTGGGTCCAAATCCCAAGCACTTACATAAAAGTTGAACATAGCCCATGTATGCCTGTAGCCTCATAATTGAGAAGGAAAATTGGGTAATCTTGAGAGCCCACTTACCAACCAACCTAAATAAAACAGTCAGTTCCAGGTTTAATAAATCATTCAGCAAATACTGACAACTGGAGCTAATAAGCAGAAGACAATGACAAACAATGAAAAGATGTTCATCATCACAGTTTGTTCTGTATGAATTAAACCAGAGTGAAGTACCACTGCATGCCCAAGGGAATCACTAGCAAGAAAAAACATTTGTGATTACAAGAGGCAGCCAGTGGTTCTCATAGACTCTGGGTGGTGCTGTCGCTTTAAAAAAATATTGCATAGTTTCTGAAAAAGGCAAATCCAGCCAGAAATCTCATCCCTATGTATTCCAGCAATATCATCTGAAATAAAACCATTATCACAAAAAGCCAATCTTCTGGGCAGGTAGAGAAGAGACTGACTGCAAGGAAACATGAAGGAGAAAGCTTAGATTATTTTGACTTTTGTGGTGGCTTTGTATCCATCAGAATTTGTGTGGTATCTATACACAAAGTTTATGAAAATTATGTCATCCACAGGAAAACGGATGAGACTGAAGATCATTGTGTTACAGAATATAAGCCAAATTCAGAAAGATAAATATTATATTTTTTTCTCACAATCAGAATTACATTTTAAAAAAATAATAAATCAGATTTTGGGAGCACATTTCAGCCTGGACACATGGTGGAGGATCTAAGCCCTACTTCAAATGACAGGACAGACTTTGAAGACTCCCCATGGAAGTCTGCTTCCTGGGGAGTAGAAAGGGGATAGGATGGGGGTTTTTTGGGGAGAACAGGAGAGGATGGGAGAGTGCAGAAACTGGGAATGACATGTAAAACAAGCTTATTTCAAATTTAAAT